TGTTGTTGGAGAGATTAATGATATCCAGTGATGCATTTGAGGTGGATGTTTGCGGTGAATGTGGCCTTCTGGGATACTCGGGCTGGTGCGAGTTCTGTAAATCATCACGTCACGTGTCCACTCTCAAAATGCCGTACGCCTGTAAACTGTTATTCCAGGAGTTACAATCAATGAACATTGCTCCAAGACTCTCACTCAAACCTTATAATGAAGTATAAAGACAGACAACTCCTCAATTTGGTTTTTTTGTATTAATTTTGTTGACCCAAAATAAAAATGTGATACAAAAAATAGTGTTAAATTTTTGTTTGAGGTCATGGATTTAATGCTACAAAGATTGGATATGTTATTATTGTTACACATATATAAGAGAACTCTTTCCCATTTGTTCTGGATTAAAAACTGCACACCGAAACATGTCATAAGGCATGAATGTCGATTTACAATTGGCAGTTGAATACTGTTCGTTATCTCCACATATTTCAATTAACTAGATGTAAACTAGAGTAAAAATCAGAAAGGCACAAACTATTCTCAGTTACATTTAGCACTAACATATGGACCAGGTATTCTCTGGTGGAAGACATTGATTGTCCCAGAATGCACCATGTAGGTAGATTGAGATCAGATATTTATCTTATAGTTCATGTACATGTGTATTACTCAAGAGATGAGGACATCTCTTTCTCTTGTGGAGGTTATTTTGTAGTCTGTGATGCATTGCTTTATACTAGCTTGGGCTAGCATGTTAAGCAGTTGGCACAATCAGTAGAGCAATGAACTCACTTGCCAGAGGTTCTGGGTTCAAAACCAAGTGTAGGGACCAACCTGTCTGTGTTATACCGTGTAATCCCTATTAACAGCCCTGGGCGCTTAGAAAATTGCAAAAAGGGGGCATTTATTTTAGTATTCTCTTTATGATAAATAATGTCATATTTTAACTTTAAAAAAAATCTTTAAAAAATAAATAGATACTAGGAACCACTAAAATAATGTATAATTTTACTTAAAGTGAAGATAATCCATCTAAATTATGCTAAATTATTTATTTTTCACTGAGAAACTGGATAATAGACAAGTTTCATTTTCACTTTCTTCATATTTTTGATATGATACTTGTTGATTCTAATCGAAGTACAAGGGCCCTTATTTTCTGACAATTGAAAAAGACCTAAGGGCGCGCTTATAGGGGCATGGGCGGTTAATAGGGATTATACGGTATATATAAAGAGACTAAATTGTACCCATTTCAATATCGCATCATGCTTTAAAAGGGTTATATTGTACATTTAATATGTAGATCTGTTTTATGAATGATGTTAAACAAACTACAGTCATATATTTAAAATATATTTAAGGGTATATAACACGAACAAAAATTAGATGAATGGATTGGTATATTTTTATGCCCCCCTTTGAAGAAGGGGAGCATATTGCTTTGCTGCTGTCTGTCGGTCCATTTAGTTTCCGTTCATTTTCTTCAAAACCGTTGCACATACTGATATGAAATTTGGTATACAGGTATATCAGATGAATATCTAGGTCAAGTTCTGTTTTGGGTACGTTCGCACCATAATTGAAAGAGTTATGCCCCCTTGACTTAGAAAAAATCCAATTATTTGCAGTTTTCGTTCATTTTCTTTAGAAAGGTTGCACACATTGAAATGGAATTTAGTATGCAGATTAGTCAGATGAATATCCAGGCCAAGTCTTGTTTGGGTACGATTGCACCATAATTGACAGACTTTTGCCTTTTTGGACTTAAAAAAAATTCCAATTTTTTGCAGTTTCCGTTCATTTTCTTTAGAAAGGTTGCACGCATTGAAATGGAATTTAGTATGCAGATTAGTCAGATGAATATCTTGGTCAAGCTTTGTTTTGGGTACGACTGCACCATAATTGACAGAGTTATGCCCCTTGGACTTAGAAAAATTCCAATTATTTGCAGTTTCCGATCATTTTCTTTTGAGAGTTGCACATATTGAAATGGAATTGAGTATAATACAGATTAGTCAGATGAATATCTAGGCCAAGTGTTATTTTGGGCTCGATCACACCGTAATTGACAGTTATGCCCCTTGGACTTAGAAAAATTCCATATTTTTGCAGTTTCCGTTCATTTTCTTTTGAGAAGTTGCACATGTTGAAATGGAATTTAGTATAAAAATTAGTCAGATGAATATCTAGGTCAAGTTATGTTTTGGGTATGATCACACCATTTTTGACAGAGTTTTGCGTTTTTGGATTAGAAAAATTCCAATTTGTGGTGGTGGGGGGGGGCATAAGTGTTTTATAAACATCTCTTGTTTTTGACTGATTTTAATTTGAAAAAAAGTTTGTTTGTGTTATTTATCCTTTTAAAAGTTTTTTTTTAATATAACAAAGAAAAATATCAATATAATTACAATATACATGTACCAGCAGGTAAAAATAAATGATTTTAAAATAGTTTTACTACAATTATTGATATCATCGATATTTTAATGGAGTTTTACGAAGAGACTTACTTTTACATTTGACAGCTGACTTTTACATTTTAGTGATTGGAGTTTGTATATGTTTAAACTTTAAATTGTAAAAGTCAGTCGTCAATTGTAAAAGTAAGTCACTTCATAAAACTCCAATTGTTGATATTTTAATTGGATATATTTGTGTGCTCTATGTTACATTCATTTCAAGTATGTATTAAAAATACTAAACATACCCTTTTCGTATCATGGGTTGATGCAAAACAAAAATTGTCAAAACTAAATTCACATTAAAAAATAATATGAAATCAGATTGTGAAATATATTGAATACAACACATTCAACTTCATAAATGAAATCGGACCTAGCAGTTTAAAAGTTTTTAAGTGGTATTTAGTCACGTGATAACAGATGACAGAACCGGGCCGGGAGCCATGTTGTATCAGGTAAGACAAAATGAAAGCTGTTTTACCTTATTTTTAAGTAGGAATTGTATTTTCATTAATTCCCCAAATGATTAAATTATTGTTTTTATGAAGGACTAAACATTATAGATACTAATCTTGTCTGTAACTTGATGGTTGATGAAGGATTTCAGAAATTCAAATTAGGTCATAAGTGTGTCCGATAATTTACTTTTCGATCATTCAAACTTGAACAAAAATCCTTTTTAGGATATAATATCTACGAGGGCTGTTCAATGAATTATGTCCTCGGTGCTCGGAAAGAAGCAAACGATGCTTTTGAATGATTTAGTCTTCCTGATTTTACTTATTAATCTCTTTTAATTCAGACACATGTCTGTAACATTTTTTATCCAATTTCTGATTGTTTTTAGAAATCATTTTTTGGTATGACCCTTAGTATACTGGAAAATGACAGATCCAATGATTTCCTGGACTTGTTTTTTCCTTCAAAAAGGTGTTTTTTTTCAAGTTTGGAAATAGAAACAAGTCAAAAGGTCAAAGATCTTGCAATTATTGTTAATGTGAAAAAACATCAACTTTTCGTTTATCCCGAAAAACCTTTTACTCTTCAGGGCATATGGATTTGGATGCTGTCATGAAGAAATTCACTGTAGTGAATTCCTGATTCTGGGTTCTTCCTCTAATAAACCTTTCGATCCTGTTGAAAAAAAGTTACTTTCCAGACTCCTCCCGATATTAAACTGTCTCCCCTAATACGAATTTGAACAACAGTACCACTAATATTTAAGAAAATTGCTTATAAATCTGTCTTTGTGCTCTTGCATACCTTTGCTTTTGTCAGACCTCAGGCGTTTTTATCAAGCACATCTTATGGTAAATTTTGTTTTGATGATTTTAAGCAATAGATTCATGTTCCAATATCTGTTTGAATATAAAACAAACGTGGATAACTACAATTAGAGGTCTACTGATATTTCAAAATAATTGTTAAGACTTTAGTAGACTCTGTCTTTTTCACTCATTTTTCAAAATATAGGGTGACCTTTGAGTACCAACCTTTTTTACTGTCAAACTTTTCGTAAAAACAATGTAAACTACTCCCGATATAATGCCTACCAAAGTTGCTATGTATCTTAAAGCAATATGAGCTGCATGTTTGACATCGGAAAAAAATGTTGCAAATTTGTAGTTAACAATTTTCAATGACAGAAAAATAGAACATTTATAAACTTCTGTTGTTCATATTTGCTATGAAAGAACTTTTTATACACTTTGATTGAAGCAAAATTGAATTATTGTCGTCCTGTACAATAATGATTTCTTATATAATACGTATATATGTACTCTATATTCGGTTGTACAGAAATATTTCTTCTGAAACATTTAAATTTAAAACTTTGTTTTGGTTTTATTTATCAGAAGGGTTTAGATTACATACAGATTAATCAAAATGACACAGTTTACCAGCAAAATAAAAAAATCAAAAATGCAGCTCATATTGCTTTAAAGTCAATCATACATCATCAAATATTATTTGTTGAAATTTGACAAACAATACATAAGTTGTTATAATTTCTGTTTGCAAGGAGGGTACCCATTTTTGATGTCCATTTTATAATATTTTATCATTGAAATCAACCTGCTCATTTGTCTATAAAACAGGTATCGGTTGCTGTAAATGACACAAATTTCAGTGAATATTTCTTTGGGTTTTTTAAACAAGTTTTACAGCAGCTTTAATGTAGCCTTTATTTTCACTCTATTTTACTGATTCTTTGCCATTCATTTATAATGCAGTGTCTCGAAAAGCCGTTGTTTCCCAGCTTCTCACGATGAAATTATGTTATGAAAAGTGGTCACATAAAATGTTATAAATTCAGTAAAGATTCAATAATAAGAGAAAGTTAAGTTTAATATCATATGATATATTTATTGTATGTCATACAGTTAAGGACATTATTTATTGAACAGCCCTCGTAAACCAATTCCTCAAATCTAAACACAATATTTTCAAGAAGTCTAGCTTTTTGTATCAGTAAGTCATAGGTCAATAATTTAAAGAACAATTTATCAGTGGAACTAATCTTCTCCACTTTTATTGCAGACTTTTACCTGAGCTAGCTAGTAGCTGTAACATCAGTAATGGACCCCCGGTATTTTGCTCAAGACGTCCTTAGGTGTGACCTCTGTGAGATACATGTAGTACAAAGTCATTGTGAGCTTTGTCATGTCAACCTGTGTAAGGCCTGTGTAGGAGAGCATCTCTCTGATTCAAACAAGAAACATAGAGTTGTACCATATAGAGAAAGAACCTCAACTCCTATCTACCCAAAATGTCTAAATCATTCCAAGAACTGTGAACTTTATTGTGAGCAATGTGACATTCCTGTCTGTTCTACCTGCATCTCCTCGGGAAAACATAAAGGGCATCATTTATCAGATGTTTTACAAAAACTCAGCTCTAAATCAAGAGATATGGAAAAAGAACTAAGAGAACTTGAGACTACAATTTACCCAAAATATGAAGAAATTGCATCTGGCATAAAAACAAAGAAAGACAACTTGGAAACACACTACAGGAATCTGACAACAGCTGTCACCAAACAAGGAGAACTCTGGCACAGAAAAATTAACATCATTGTCAACAAACAGAAATCTGAAATTGATGAGATGAAAACTAAACATATCGCTGCTCTAAATACAGAGGAAGACGTTATCACAAAAATTACTGAAGATGTAAAACAGAGTATTGATTGTCTGAAGAAAATACTGGACTCAAATGATATTTCCTTAGCATCAGAATACAAATCCAGAATTGCAGAGTTCAGAAGTTTACCCCCAGACCTCAAGGTAATATTACCAAGTTTCTCTCCCCAATGGACAGACTCAGAAAAGCTCTATCATATGTTTGGTTCTCTGTCAGCATTAACCATTACAAAGGAAGAACATGGCTACACAATGAAGACATCAGAAACTGTATCCTGTCTTCCAGTCAAGCCACTGCTTGATGAGCCAGAGGCTGTCACCACCATAGACACTGGGTATGAATACACACTATGCAGTGTTACCTGTCTCAGTGATGAAGAGATTTGGACACTTGGAGGAGACAAAATTATGAAACTCTACAACCTCCATGGAAAACTACTGAAGTCAATCCAAACCAAATCAGGAAACACACCACATGACATAGCAGTGACAAGAAGTGGAGATCTAGTTTATACTGATCCTGATACAAGAACAGTAAACATAGTGAAGAATGAAAAGATACAGGAAGTGATCAGACTACAGGGGTGGAAACCTTACTATCTCTGCAGTACCTCCTCTGGTGACCTCCTGGTTATTATGGACAATGATGAAAACAAACAAAAAAAAGTCATCCGTTACTCTGGCTCAATTGCAAAACAAACCATTCAGTTTGATAGTGAAGGTAGACCTCTCTATTCATCTGGTTCTGTTACATACATCTGTGAGAACAGGAACCTAGATATCTGTGTGGCTGACAATAAAGCCAGAGCAGTAATGGTGGTCAATCAGGCAGGAAAATTCAGATTCAGATACACTGGTCATCCTACTACTACCAAGGAACTATTTGATCCACTCGGCATCACAACAGACACCCAGCGTCAGATCCTGATTTCAGACTTTGATTACAACTGTATCCACATTCTAGATCAGGATGGACATTTCCTCCGTTACATTGATAACTGTGGTCTAGAGCATCCATGGGGTATATGTATAGACACCAGTGATAACCTCTTTGTGGCTGAGTGGAAAAGTGGTAAAGTGAAGAAAATCAAATACATGTAAACAATGCATTATGCCAAAAACTAAGTAATATTTAGCTGTCCACTTAGTAATAGATAAGATAGTCATTTATGTGTGTGTATGGATTAATAAAAAAAATTAGATGGGGGGTGTTTAATTTTAAGGATGTTTTAATCTTTTGCTGATTTTAAGAATGAATACATATACTATCAATATTCAAAAGTGAATAATTCTTTTAATCAATGTATATAAAGTTTTGAGTCTGTGTTGGTAACAATAAATAACGTAGACAATTGAAGAACTGAACTGCAAACCTGAGGCCATTAGGATATTATTAGTCTCCTACGGGTGAAACCAGAGGGGACTATACTTTTCTTCTGAGTCCGTTCGTCCATCTTGCTGTCCCTCTGTCTATCCAATTTGGCATTCAGCACTTTTGTTTTCTAAACACTTGCCGATATCGAGCTGATTTTGGTAAGAAAGCGTATCTTGATGAGTTACAGATGAAGTTGGAATTTCATTTCAAGTCATTAAATTTTGGCGGAATTGTGGCATTTTTAATTCTTTATAATTAAATTGGGATAACGATCAGTTTCGTGCAGTTAATTAATGTCCCAAAAGAGAAACGGGGAATCCAGTAGGGGACATGTGTTGCTTAATTGCAATCCTTTCTGAACATGCTGAATGTTTGTTGTTAACGCATTTTTGATAATGTCTTTAAATGCATTTTTGATAATATTTTTTTTCAACTTTTAATTTGAAATCTTGAATTGGTTTCATGTCTGTGTTAATTGATCAGTGTTCGACCTTACAGTAATAAGTAGGGAATCAAGGAGGAATAGCGTCTACAGGAACATTTGCTATCACAAAATATTCATGATATTATACTAATGTAATATAAGAACGATGTTCTTATCGAATAATCAACCCTCTTTCATTGTTTACTTTCTGATAGTACGAGGGTTGTCCGTAAAGTTCGTGGACAACATTGATAATTACTGACAAACATTGATAAAATATATGAAAGTATTTTTTCATTAAATTCATGTTTCATTTTATTAACATGTAAGTTTTCAACGAAAACAAAGCACAAATAGTTATATTTTTATTAGATTAAAAAAAGACATACACTCATACCCGGAGCATTAAAATGAAAATTCTTGGCGTTACCCGACGTCATAAGCATTACGACTACATGTAATTTTTCTCAACATAGTCACCGTTTAACTCAATACATATCTTATGTCGCTTTCACTACTTATAAATATGTGCACAAAACGTACAGGTTTAACACGTTAAATAATATTTAACAATGCCTGTCTCATATCCTGTAATCATCCAACCTCTGTACACGTAAAAACGATTTTACTAGCGGAAATACGGCCAAGTCACGTTTTGAAAGTCATTTTTACAGCACTGCAATCTCGGAATGATGAGTTTCCTTCACGCATGTAATCCTGTAAACTGTCCCTTCGGTCCGAAAATATTATATGGCTCTTAAATACTAACGAACGGCTTCTTTAACTATGTTTTCCCGATTGTTTAAAGAATGTATTGGTCTCTGTAGGTGTTTTCCCGATTCCTACGCAGAATTCTATCACTGCCCACTGCTTCACCTATTCCGAGAACGTCCATTTTTTGAACAATTCCGATCCTGTCTAAAAATGTTCTAACTTTGATTGCTCAGCCATTTTACAAATTTAAACTTTCAAATTTTGCATGTTTGACGTGATAGCTTCTGTCAACCTCACAGTATAAAAGTCATCCAGATTTCTGCAGAATTTTATAAAATAGAAATGAAATTTATAAAGTGATACATAATTCTTTTTATTAAAATTGTGCGGTGCTCCGGGTCTCCATTCTTAGTCTAATTATGAAGTCATAATTAGAAATAAACATTTGAAATTGAGTCAGATTTAGTAAAAGATTAAAAATATGCTAATAATAAATATCAATGACGCAACTTTTATTTAATTCTCAGCCTGTCCACGAACTTTACGGACAACCCTCGTATATGATAATTTCAAGATGAAAAGAAAGATTACGAAGGTTTGGATACGAGTAATTTATTAGCATACAAATAATAGAAAACAAAATATAAAAAATAAATACTTAAGTCGGGTAAAATAGAAATTTAATTGAGAAATAAAATACCTGTTAAATGACAAAAGAGGTATAGGGGAATAGTTTGCTCCTTAGATTGATTATTTATTGTTTTCTCGAGAATTTATTACTTATATGGAGACGCCTTGGCCCTCAGAACAACAAAGAAAGGCCTAGAATGAATGAAATAACCGCTTTTGAATACAAGAATTTAAATTACGCCTAAAAATAAAAAGGAAACTCTTGAAGGTGTTAAATGAAATAAATCGATCAAACTTCAGATTCCCGGAATTAATCTTACATTACTACCTTCCCCCATCTTAAAATGAATTATTTAAAAAAATTATAATTGTCTTTGTCATGTTTGTATACATTTAAATTTATTAGCAATAAACATATATCATTTTCAATTAAATACACAGATTGAGAATAACACAATACACTGTCAATCGATTCACATCTCTTATAAATACATGTATATATTAATTATTTATAAATACATGTAAAAATTACAGAGATGTACAAAAATATAATTAACGGTATATCTATATAAATGTCCATAATCTCACAAATGATCAGTAATATTCCCACAAATCCTTTAGGTACTCCATGTTCATGGTAAGATCGATATCCATCTGACTAAGTTAGTGTAGATCTGTTGGATATCTTCTTTCAATCTTCTCATCTCATATTGAGATTGCCCTCTACGTTCTTCGGTGGATGGTTTCTGGTTCAGGATCAGTTTCGGCATCGCAACTGCTTGAATGCAGATTAATTTGGAAAGAATTTTGTTTTCGAATGAAGAGTTTATTAACAATTCTTGGGCTTTTGTTTCTTCTAATTTATGATATTGATGTAGATGTGTTCTAAATTCTGTTTTTCCGTTCTTGAAAATTCGAGCATATTCACTGCATCTGTGTGAATGTCCTTCCAGTGTTTGGAGTAATTGTTGAAGGCTAAGGTATCTGAACAATCTGGAACAGGTAAAAATGACGAGCAGCATTTTATGCAAAATTAATCTAATGCGTGAAAAGAACAAAAGACTTGCTGTGGCTTCAACTCGACATTGAGATATACCGGTATCGACGACGTACTGTCAATTAACAATGGTAATTTCCATTCCTACGTCGATACGATATATCCTCCGGAGCTTGAGATAAAATATATCAGAGAGTCCAACACTTCAGTTTCATACTTGAATATTTTACTTGAAAAAGAATCTAATGGTAATCTAACAACCAAGCTATACGATAAACGTGATGACTTTTCTATCGTCAACTTACCTTACTTATGCAGCAATATACCTTCATCACCTGAATACGGAGTATATATATCTCAGTTGATTCGATACGCAGAGCATGCTGTACGTATCAACAATTTCTAAAACGAGGTAAATTATTGACAAGCAAGTTGATGAAACAAGAATATCAGCAGTCATCATTTCGTAAGTTCTATGGTCGATACAATGACCTTCTCAGCAAAAACAATGTTTCATTGAGTCAAATGCTGACTGACGTTTTTCAACCAATTATTAGTCCATTAATTATACACTGAATTGACGAATGATATTTTTCTTTATTTCCTGATCATGACAAGGAGCACACGGTGGGTGTGCTTGACACTTGATATGTCAAAATTTTTAGCAATGATTTTATTAGGGCACAAAAGAATTTGTTTTTTTACTGTTTTAGACTAAAAATAGATTGAGAACTTCCAAATTAAGAGAGTTAGTTCTGAAAAGCTATTTTACATGCACCCAAATTATTTCACTTTGATAGTGAAGAAAACATCCAGGCAGATAGAATCGGGTATGCTGTGTACACCCACTCTCTCAACATAAATTTTTAACTTACAATTTAGTTTGAAAATGTTAATTGAAAGTCTTGTGTCTTTTCTCAACTACTTATTAATCATTATTGTTTTTGAAAAAATTCGTTTCAATTGGGCAAGAGAATTTAAGATTCGGGCACATCGAAATAAGGGGGACTGGATGTAAAATTTACTTCATTTGCAAATGTTCACTGAAAGTCTGAATGCCCCTCCCCAACTTTTTATTACAGTTCTATGTGAAAATGATCGCTCAATCAACATTAATGAACCCTACCACAAACGACTTCCTAAATAAGATATGGAGTTTAAAGAGTTCTCTATTTTGGGATGGGAGACTTGTCAGAGTTTTTCAACTAATGATATCCTCTCTTCTTTCAAAATCGATGCTTCAGATTATTTTAAGACATTTTAATTTCATCCATCTTTGTTTCACTTAACCCTACTTCGCATACTGTTTTTGGCTAAGACGTCAAGAAAGAAGAAATGGTTTGCTTGATGAGTTGTGTACTTACTAGTAAAATAAAAGAATAATTGCTGTATTATGAGTAATTATGATGAATTTAACCCTAAAATGAAATCTTTTGGCCTAAAAGATTAGTCTTTTGCTTCTCAGGCCAAGCATTTCAAAATTTATATCAGGGTGGGTACTATCACAAACATAATTTCACAATACAATTGCTGGAAGATTTTGATCACGTTCCTTGTATCAGCCCGAGGGGTTGGTGTAGATAGGCCCTTACACGAAGGGTGGAATAGCAGAATATTCTATTAAAATAATCAAAGAAACAGTCAATTCATATCTTACTTGCAAGGAAAATATAAAAAAAAATCCAATCACCCAGCTTTGCTTTCGCTCTTCGTAAAGGAAGGGAAGATGTCTGATGACTCTTCATGAATATTACATTCATTATTAAGCAACAAGTTGAGAAATTTAATGTATAGATAAATTGTGCAGTCATGATTTATTTTTCTAATAAACTGTAAAGTGTAATGTAACGTAAAACTTTGATAAGGTAATAAATTCAATCCATTACTTTTCTGAATTTGAGTAATGTGGGAAAGGTAATTGTAATGGTAAAACATTTCAATGTAATTAAAGTAGATCCATTACATTATCAAAGTCTTATTGACCCTAGGTCTTTTCTGGGTCTCAAATTTACTTTTGATCAAATGGGATACAGATCAATGGTTTAAAGAATCTTAATTTTACTTTGCAATGCATAAAAATATATGGAATTTAAAGACAAATATACTTACCTTCTTATGGTAAAATCTTATAATTATCCAATTTTATCATTTGAAATATTTTCTAGATGCTTTAATATGATTGATTGATTGACTGTTGTGTTAAACATCCTTTACGAGAGTTTTTAACAAATATGGAGACACCACCTTTTTCCGGTAGAAGGCTACGAAGAGGAGGATTTTTTTTCATGTCAGAACCTACTGCGACACGGGACCTCAGTTTTTACGGTCTCATTCAAAAGACCAGCCTCAACGTACCACAGTTGGATTCGAACCCACCACGTAAAGATCAAATCAATACTTCGCGACTTCAAATGAGAGCACGATCAGACAACGGACTGAGATAGGAATACAGCTCTAGTTTCTAGATTCAGTCTCATCGAGTCCAATATACCTAATTTAGAGCTGAAAAACTACTAGATATACCGTATAAAATGAATTTAGTAGAAAAACTTAACCTGAAAGAATTTGTAGATATTGAAGGAGGTTACAATTGTTTGTTTGTATAGGGAACCAGTTTAGACCTACATTTTCGTAGGTCCCATATACATGTACTACCAGAAACTAGAGCACATGGTTCTGGACAAAATGCACGCCCGAGCCAAGGGTTTGAGGGATGTACTGACTCTTCATCCACAGAGGACCGATCTCGAGAGGGAGGACTAAGACTGGGGGAGATGGAGCAAGATTGTCTCACCGGATATGGAGCAAGGTTTGTGTTTTTATTCAAGGGAGATTTTTGACCTTGTTATAAGTGCAGTGTAAATATAGACCAAGATTACATCGAGGCTGTCCTAATGTATGCTTAGTTGAGGTAAAAATATATCATAAAATATGATAAGTTGATACAATGCTAGTTTAGTGTTTAAAATAAGAAAAGGATATAGTTTATATGATTTGAGGGCAAATTTATTAATGAGATTCTCCCATCTTGTAATGTTGTGTGGTCCCTGATATTATTTTAATTCGTGACATTTAATTATACCATTACAGCATGCTGTTGTTGGAGAGATTGATGATATCCAGTGATGCGTTTGAGGTGGATGTTTGCGGTGAATGTGGCCTTCTGCGATACTCGGGCTGGTGCGAGTTCTGTAAATCTTCACGTCATGTGTCCACTCTCAAAATGCCGTACGCCTGTAAACTGTTATTCCAGGAGTTACCGTCAATGAACATTGCTCCGAGACTCTCTCTGAAACCTTACAATGAAGTATAAAGACAGACAACTCCTCAATTTGTTTTTTGTTTTGATTTTGTTGACCCAAAATAAAAATGTGTTACATAACACACTTGTTAAACTTTTTGTTAAGAGTCTTGAATTGAATGCATGTACTCGTATACGTACTTGCCTTTAGCATTGATATGTAATTATTGCAATTTAAGAACTCTTACATCACAATGTCTCATATCAGCGACCAGTTCGAATACCTTTATCATGGAAAACCTTTATCAATATTAAACTGGAAAGCAAAAATCTTTTTCAAACCAAATGAAACATACTCATATAGATATAGATGCATAATCTGAATATCGAGCATAATACCAAAAGTAAAAAAACACTATGTGCGTTCACAGTTCTGCCGTTGGTAGATAAAAGTTGCCGTTGGGAAAATTAATTACCATTGGCATGCCACTGGCACCAATGTTTTTTTGCCAATGGTATATTTTTCTGCAGACAATCTAGAGTGTGGTTAATGTTGATAAATGACGTCACAACCAGTAATCGACATGGTAGCAAGCTGGAAAGACTTGGATCTCGGATTCACAATGATATAAACGATTTTCCTTCGAAGGCTTTTTAACAAATCATGCCAAAATCACATACAAATCATATCAAACACTTAAATTCATGATTTTGAAGTATGATTTAGACATTAAATAGATAAATTCTTCTTTCTGTTTACTGTGAAAATAGAGATTTTATATATGATGAAATTCCACCCAAAAATGATTGTGTTGTTGCTTTGAAAGCAAGAAAAGATCTTATGGTATGCTCTGTCACAGTCTGAGTGTACGTACATTATTCAAGTCATATGACAAGATTGACATGTTTTGAAACAATTGAAGAACACTAACTTAAAAAAAGAAGTTTATTCCTTCCTTATTTGTTTGGGAGATTCTATTACTGTAAATGTATTATATTTAGCGTGTACAGTTTATGGCGGATATTGATTTTTGAACAATAAGTCAGTATAGATTCGATTTAGCGCATTCTTTCATATTCTTGCTTATGTGTATACTATGTGTTAGACATTTAGCTAGTTCAAAAAAATAATTTTCAAGACTTTCAATAAAAAAAATAAACACTAGTTATAAATAAGATACGGTGGTATATTTAGGACACGCAATTATTTTTTTTAAATACCAGAAAAAAATTATCTTGTGAAAACGACATAATTATCTTGTGAAAAACGAGATATCTTGTGAAAACGACTTATTGTCTTGTGAAAACGAGATATTATCTTGTGAAAACGACTTATTATCTTGTGAAAACGAAATATTATCTTGTGAAAACGAAATATTATCTTGTGAAAACGAGATATTATCTTGTGAAAACGACTTATTATCTTGTGAAAACGACTTATTATTTTGTGAAAACGAGATATTATCTTGTGAAAACGAGATATTATCTTGTGAAAACGAGATATAATCTTGTGAAAACGACCTATTATCTTGTGAAAACGAGATATTTTCTTGTGAAAACGACTTATTATCTTGTGAAAGCGAGATATCATCTTGTGAAAACGAGATATTATCTTGTGAAAACGAGATATTATCTTGTGAAAACGAGAAATTATCTTGTGAAAACGACTTATTATATTATGTCGTTTTCACAAGATAATATCTCGTTTTCACAAGATAATATCTCGTTTTCACAAGATAATAAGTCGTTTTCACAAGATAATATCTCGTTTTCACTAGATAATTAAGTCGTTTTCACAAGATAATATCTCGTTTTCACAAGGTAATTTCTCGTTTTCACAAGATAATTATGTCGTTTTCACAAGATAATTTTTTCTGGTATTTAAAAAAAAAATAATAATTGCGTGTTCTAAATATACCACCGTAATAAGATACACACTTCCACTTCATAAGTAAAATCTGACCTGACTGCAGCTATAATTTAGCAGTATTTATAAAGTTTTGAATAATTAGAATTGGTTGCATGAATGCTAATGTGTTTATTTAACTTTATACAGAAATTTGACCTGAAACTAAATTTGAACATAGATCAATACATACACCAAACATGTATTTAAATCACGTGACCAAAACACTTAGACAGATAACTGAACCCGGAAGTAAGGTTGTCGGCCGGGAGCCACGTTAGATTTACAGGTCAGACATAATACATAAAGCTTTTTTTACCTTGTTTTTAAGTACCATTTGTACCATTAAATACCCAAATAAGTAAGTTATTGATATAATGAAGGATTTAAAATATTATGGATAGCCTGTCCATAACTTCATTGTTGGAAAAGGAATCAAGTTTTTAATGAGGTCATTCATGGGTTTGTCTGATAATTTATATTTTCTCAAGTAAAATGATCTTTAAGCCGATTATTCAAAATTAAATTGCATAAAGAATGAGTCTTTTTTAAATAACAGTTTCTATTTACATTCTTTTTATTGTAAACGCTTTATTTTCAAGAACTGTTCGTCACATAGTTAATTTCATGAGCATTTAACCAGTGGTATTAAACTATCACTTTTCTTCTCTACTTTAATTGCAGCAAGCATTTGACATGAACTACTGTAGCTGAATCATCAGAAATGGACCCCCGATACAGTGCTCAAGACATCATAAGGTGTGACCTCTGTGAGAGACATGTGGTACAAAGTCACTGCGAGCTCTGTCATGTCAACCTTTGTAAGACCTGTGTAGGAGAGCATCTTTCTGATTCAACCAAAAAACATAGAGTCGTACCATATAAAGAAAGAACCTCAACTCCTAACTATCCAAAATGTCTCATGCATTCCAAGAACTGTGAACTTTACTGTGAACAATGTGATATTCCTGTCTGTTCTACCTGCATTTCCTCAGGTAAACATAAAGGACATCATTTATTAGATATTTTACAAAAACTCAGCTCCAAAACAAGAGATATGGAAGAAGAATTAATTGAACTTGAGACTGAAATTTACCCAAAATATGAAGAAATTGCATCTGGCATAAAAAATAAGAAAGAAAACGTAGAAACACAATACAGGAAACTGAAAGCAGCCGTCTCCAAACAAGAAGAAGACTGGCACAGAGAAATTAACATCATTGTCAACAAACGAAAATCTGAAATTGACGAGATGAAATCTAAGCACCTGGCTGCTCTAAGTGAAGAGGAAAACAAAATCAAACACATTACTGCAGAAGTAAAACAGAGTATCATTGACCAAAAGAAAATTCTACAATCCAATGATATTTCCTTAGCCTCTGTATACAAATCCAGAAATGCAGAGTTCAGACGTTTACCTCCAGAAGTCAATGTATCATTACCAAGTTTCTCTCCTCAGCAGATCAACACAGAGCAGCTCCATCAAATGTTTGGTTTTCTGTCAGCATTATCAATTACAACAGAACATGGCTACACAATGAAGACACCAGAGGATGTATCCTGTCCTCCTGTCAAACCACTGCTTGATGAACCGCAACTTATTTCCACCATAGACACTGGGTATAAACCACTACGCAGTGTTACCTTTCTCAGAGATGATGAAATCTGGACATGTGGAAATGGCGAAATCATAAAACTCTACAATTTTCAGGGCAAACTACTGAAGTCAATCACAACACAGTCAGGGAGACAAGCAAGTGACATAACCGTGACAAGGAGTGGAGATCTAATTTATATTGACCGTGATACAAGAACTGTAAACATAGTGAAGAATAAACAGATACAGGAAGTGATCAGACTACAGGGGTGGACACCTTACAATGTCTGTAGTACCTCCTCTGGTGACCTCCTGGTTACCATGAACAGTGAAGATGACACACACACAAAAGTTGTCCGTTACTCTGGCTCTTATGAAAAGCAAACCATTCAGTTTGATAGTAAAGGTAATCCTCTCTATTCATCTAGTGACTTATTTAAATCCGTCACTGAGAACAGGAACCTGGATATCTGTGTTGCTGATCATGGAGCCCGTGCAGTAGTGGTGGTCAATCAGGCAGGAAAACTACGATTTAGATACACCGGTCCTCCATTTACAATTAAGGGAGTATTCCTTCCATACGGCATCACAACAGACAGCCAGAGTCAGATCCTAACAGCAGACAGTGTCAACAACTGTATCTACATCCTAGATCAAGATGGACAGTTTCTGCGTCACATTGATAACTGTGATCTGCAATATCCATGGGGTTTATGTGTAGACATCAGAGACAATCTTTTTGTGACTGAGAATATCACTGGTAAAGTGAAGAAAATCAAATACATGTAAGCACTGCATTGTGTTTAAAATGATTGTAAATAAGAAAAGTATATTATTAAGCTATCCATTTAGTAAGAGTTACATATATACTTGTGCATGTCTGATTATAAGGATTAATTTAAAAAGATGAGAAGTTTGTCAAAAGCACATATTCTTGATATGTAATGAATTTTCATTGATTTAAAGAAGAAATGCACTTGCACTATTTTTAAATCTATCAATTATTCGCATAATAAATAATAATGCATTTAATAATAGATAGTTTTCAGTAGACCCATTTTAACAAGAGTTATTTCCCGTTGGCCGCCATCTTGTGGGTCAAACATGTAATTTCCCCCTTTGTCCTACCAAATATACGAGGGTGTAGCAGAAATATTTGGGGGAAATTGTTATGGAATAAACATTATGAAATAAAGGAGGCTCTAACAAATGTATAATTGTCAGAAAAACAATGCTTCCCAGCCCACAATAGCCAGTATAAAAAGTTAAAGTTGGTTGAATAATAAGGAATATGAGCAATATGGCGGCCGAAGGGAAATAACTCTTGTTCATTTGGGACTACTGAAAACTATCTATAATCCGATATGTGAAGTATACAAAGTTATAAGTTTATAGTGGAAATTAAAAACATAAATAATTAAAGAACCGAATTGTATATTTGAGAACATTAGTAATGGGCATAGCGCGTGTTGTCTGAGAACACTGTCAATACATTTCTGCTTTACATTTTACTTTTTATTTACATATTGCATTGGTTTCATGTTTATGATTATTGATCAGTGCTGGACCTACGGCAAATAAAAGTAATGGGAGTAACAGCATCTAAAGGAACATTTACTATAACAGAATACTATAAAATGTTGGTGTTTCTGCTGGACAGCCCTCGCGCTCTACGGGCCTGAACACGGCAAAGCAGTGCAATACCGTAAATCTGGAAATTTTTACTGTAGATAATTTTTTAGCAAATTTGCGCATGCATTGCATTCGCAAAAATATTTTTCTTAAAAATAAATCAACATGTGAAGAATTTTTTTTCTGAGAACTCGTGTTTTTTTTTAACTCGATGAAAAGGTGTCGGTAAGCACTGGTCATTTTTAAAAGAAACCTGTTTACACTAGTCTACTATAACTACAAGTTAATTACCCGTGCGTGTAAATTACCCTCATTATATGCAATATCGTCAGATGATTTGACAAGCACTGAGGCAGTATGCCCCTTCTTAATTATTTTATCAATTATTTTGCCAATAAAGAGAGAACTGTCATTTTATCTAACCGTGTATCAACACGGGCGATAACTCAAACTCAGTGCATTTTCTAGAAAGTTCCAAATGTAAACGCGGTGTGTAAATTTTAGGTAAGAAAAAAACAAACGTTGCAAAAATTAGTTATATTTTTTTCTTCATTTGGATTATTCTTTAGGTTAAAAGACAAACTCTAAAATGTTTTTATAATTGATTTAGAAACTATTTTCAGTGCAAATCCTTTTGTATTTCATCAAAATTGTTTCGGGACAATTTTGCAATCGCTTGCCACGTTTCGAGTGTATTGGTGGTATTATAACTGAGCATATTATTTGAAACATAACCTGGATATGAAAATCTTCAGTGATTTTTAATTTTAGCACCAGTCACAATTCGCAAAAATTTGAAGCGTAAAAATTAATCAACAGCTTTTTGACCCAAACTCGCAAAAATAAATCGACGTAAAAATTTCCAGATTTACGCTATTTTATTACTCAGTTGTCTACCATAATTTTTTTACCACTCTCTAGAACACTTGAAATGTTGAATTCTTTAGCATTGTTTTTATTAAGCACACTTTCAAGGGTATATCAAAAGAATTATTTTTTTATTAGATTAAAAATAAATTGAGAACTTCCAAATTGAGAGATTTAGTTCTAAAAAGTTATTTTACATGCGTTCGAATTCCACTCTGAAAGTGAAGAAAACATCCAGGCACATAGACTCCGATGGGCTGTGAACACCCTTTCACTGAACATGATTTTTAACTTACACTTTAGTTTGAAAATGTTCATTGAACGTCCTGTGACTTTTCACACCTACTTATTAATCTATTATTTTTTTTTTTAAATCTATTTCATTTGGACAGGATAAATTAAGATTCAGGCACATAGAAATAAGGGGGACTGGATGTAAAATTTACTTTATTTGCAAAATTAAAATCACTGAAAGTCTGAATACCCCCTCCCAATTTTTTTTTATTACAGTTCTATGTGAGAATGCTCAATCAACATCAATGGACCTGAACACCAACGACTCCCTAAGTAAAATACAAAGTTTAAAGAGTTCTAGTTTTTGGATAGGGGACTTGTTAGAGTTTATTCAACCCTTCTTTCAAAATCAATGCTTCAGATTATTCTAAGACATTTCAATTTTATCCATCTGTGTTTCTTTTAAAAGATTAATCTTGCGTTTCACAGGCCAAGCTTTTCAAATTTAAATCAGGGTGGGTTCTATCACAAACAAAATTTCACAATGCAATTGCTTGAAGATTTTAATCACGTTCCTTGATTCAGGCCGAGGGGTTGGTATCGATAGGCCCTTGCGTGAAGGGTGTAAAGCAGAATATTCTATTGAAATAATCAAAGAAACAGCCAATTAATATTTTATATGCTAGAAAAATAAAACAAAAACGCCCAGCTTTGCTTTCGATCTTGGCGAAGGGAGGGAAGATGACTGATGACTCATAATGAATGTTACATTCATTATTAAGCAACAAGTGTAAGGAATTTAATGTATATATGAATGAGTATCATAAAATCTTTTTTTTCTAAATAAATATAAACTATACTGTGTTATGTAATGTAATGTAAAACTTTGATAAGGTTATAAACTCAATCCGTTACGTTTCTAAATTCGAGTAATGGTAAAAGTGCATGTTATTGTAATAGTAAAACATTTCAATGTAATTAAAGTAAATGTATTTATACCTGCACTTTCTAAATCAGACGAAGTACCAATCGGCCGATGTGCAATCTAATTAAAATTAGATGTTAGATCCGCACGCAAACTAGCTATGTACACCAACATCGATGTTAGTGTAGCGAGTATGCGAGCGGATCGAACATCTAATTTTAATTAGATTGGCCGATGTGCCGAGTGGTGCTTAATCTAAAAATATGATAATGGGTGACGCAACCGAATGTAATGTAGAAATTTTCCAAAAGCTTATTACATGTAAACATGTATAGTTCAAGAACCAACATGTATGTTTTAACACAACTTTTCTATTTACATATGTATCCTATTTTTAAAAAAACGTATTTTTCGTGAGGGAGTGTGTGCATGTGTGGTGTTGGGTTTTTTTTTTTTTTTTGGGGGGGGGGGGGCATTATTAAATTTTAAAAGGTACCAGGTGTGAGCAAAACATTTCTTAAAATCTATGAAGCATATAAAATACACAGGCTCTGAGTCATAGGTCACATAGTCATCGGGTCTGAGAATGATATACTTAATGTGACAAATGCATGTACTTTGTAAATTATGGAATTATTTTGACTTTTCCTTGGAAAGCCCAATATGTACGAGTGTATCTTAAGGCTTACACCTGACAGCATCTGATTAATTTTTAAAGTAATATTGACCCCAGGTCTTTTCAGGGTCCCAAATTTTTATCACTTTTACTTTTGATAAAATGGGATACGGATCTTTTGGGATTGAATATACTATATAGCCTATTGATGAGGTCAATCCTTCGATATATAGACCTTAGAGAAAACATATCGAACGAGCATGAACTGCGAGGTCGATATGCTTTCTCTAAGATCTATATATCGAGGGATTGTACCGAATCAAAAGGCGACAATTGTTTTATTATTTTTTTATTAGTTAATATGAAATGTCTTAAAATCCTTCTTTATAATACTCAGTATCTCATACAAGGCATTGTTATGTCATTGCATTATGAAAATGAAATGCAGCAATGAAAACCAGCTGCAACATCTAGTCTAAAAAGACTATTGTGACGTCAGCACTATCGTTGCTTCAATGAAGAACGTTTCCAATTTTAGAAACAGCAGGTTTATAATTTTTTAAAATAGAAACTACCAGACTGTAACACATTTTATACTTGATCATGTGATTCAGTTTGAGCCAGTCAGATAGATGGAACAATAAAAAAATAATAAAGACTATTGTGACGTCAGCACTGTTGTTGCTTCACAGAAGAACGTTTCGAATTATAGAAACAAAAGGTTATAAATTTTTAAAATAGAAATATTCAGTCCGTACAACTTTTTATACTTGATCATGTGATCCAGTTTGGGCCACTCAGACAGTTGGAACAACAAAGAAAAATAATGATACTGTTTGTTTTCTATATATTTAAATAAGCTTACTGTAAAATGGAAAATAATAAGTAACAATGGTTTAAATGAATATAGCTATGTTTGTCAATTATCATTTTTCAGCAAAATTAAACTAATTGTGAATGGTATAATTATTTTTTAAAGAAACGTTTAAACGCTTTTTACGAAATTTTGCATTATTTTCTATCTGCGTGGAATTATAACCACTGCAATTGGTACTTTTTGAGATATCATGAAATCGAAATGCCTTGGAGTTAAACACTTACAGAGGGTAATTAGACGTACACCAGTGTTTAAAAACCATAGGCACAAGCCTTTCTCTGTTTCATTTGGCACCCACATATGGACCAGGTATTCTCTGGTGTATGCAATTGATTGTCAGAGAAGTGCACCATTATAGGCATTATTAGATCAGATATTTATCTAATAGTAAATGTATATCACTCAAGAGATGAGGTCTTCTCTTTGCAAACAAAAAAAAAGATCTCTTGGTATATATTTCGTCATTAAGGTCATTTGACAAGATGAATAATTATGTTATGAAACAACCGGAGATCACAAACTTGAAAAAAGCCATCTTTTCTTTATTACGTTATCTGTCGAGGAGATTTGATTACTAAACAGTATTTTAAAATCTTTTATGGATCAATACATCAAGTATTGCCTACAAAAAAATAATCATGTTGTCAACAGTTTCCTTAAAAAATTGTAGGACCTGGTTATCAACACACTTAACGACATAAATTAAATCTGACTTGACTGATAAAATTTATCAGTTCAAAGTTTTTGAGCGGTATTTACATCACGTGACGAGATCACAGTTCATGACAGATATCAGAACGAAGAATTATTATTACCGACCGAGAGACATATACGATATAAAAGGTAGATATGATAAATAAAGCTGTTTAATCTTGATAATTAAGTACTATTTGTATTTTTAATGACCCAATTGAGTAAATTATTGTTACTAATGAAGGATTTCACATTATTGATAGCTTGTCTTTGGTTAGAAAAGGATCGATCATACAGTATATACCTTGAATTAGGTCATACGTGTGTCTGATCATTTACAAATTCTCAAATTATCCATGGGGTTTAGGTTTAGACACCAAAGACAACCTCTATGTAGCAGGGTGTATCCGTGGTGCAGTGAAGAAAATTAAATACAAATAAAATCTGCATTATATTATAAAATGATTGCAAATATGAAAATGATATTATTCAGCTATACACTTAGAAAGAGTGAAAGAGTTATACAAGGGGTGTTAGAAAAGTTCGCGGACAAGTTCTATTGTGAGCGCGCTATTTCCACGAAACCGGTCAAACTTTTCAGATAAAATCTTAACCTATTTTCCAATAAATATACAAAAATTTGGTGCTCTCCGGTGATCATTGACAATATATACAGCTATTATTATTTT